TACCTTGTAAAGATTTGTCACTTGTATTGGTTTAATAAAATGCTAATTGACTAGTAACCAGGCAGGAAGGATAGGTGGGGTGACCAGAACAGGAGAATTCTGGGAAGAGGAAAGCTCAGTCTGCAGTTGTCACCCAGACATAGAGGAAATAAGATGAGAATGCCTCACTGATAAAAGGTACCAAGCCATGTGGCTAACACAGACACAAATTATGCACTAATGTAAGATGTAAGAATCAATTAATAAGAAACCTGAGCTAATAGGCCAACCAGTTTATAAGTAACGTAGACCTCTGTGTGTTTCTTTGGGACTGAATGTCTGTGGGACCAGACTGGAGAGAAACCTCTGTCAACAAATCACTGTCAAGAGATTGTCTTGAGCATCAGAAGAGACTTTGAACATTTGAACAGTGTAGGGGCTATTGTAGACTATGAGTATCATTGAAGTGACTAAATTAATTTTCTTCATGGATGATGACCAGGAGCCTATAGTGATCCAGGCCAGAATGTAATTGATTGAATGAAAAACCTCCCAAATAGGAAGATGTATTTTAATATGTGCCTCTTCTTGGGACTTTTATTTGATTGCTTGTGAAACCATTAATAGGAGGAGCCTTTCTGGATGAAATTTCTCATTGAGGATGTGATATGATGTAGTGAAGAGAGCTGTTTGTTTGTTCCCAGATACTTAGCCCCAAAATAATCTAACAGAAACTAATAATTATATCACTGCTTGGCCCATATGCTCTAGCTTCTTATTGGCTAACTCTTACATTTTAATTTAACCCATTTCTATTAATCTGTGTATTGCTATGTGCCTGTGGCTTACTGGGTAAAGTTTCTAGCATCTGTCTCTGGCTGGCCTACATAACTTCTCTCTGACTCTGCCTTCTTCCTCCCAGCATTCATTTTAGTTTTATGCACCTACCTAAGTTCTGCCCTATAGCTCTGCTATAGGCACAAAGCAGTTCCTTTATTTAACAATGATAATCACAACATACAGAGGGAAATCCCACATCACCTCCCCTTTTCTGTATAAATGAAAAAAAAGGTTTTAATTTTAACATAGTACAATTACAAATCACAAAACAGGTATCATGCAAGAATTACAGTTAAAATATTTATATCTGAGCCGGGCGGTGGTGGCACACGCCTTTAATCCCAGCACTCGGGAACCAGAGGCCAGCCTGGTCTACAAGAGCTAGTTTCAGGACAGAAACCAAAAAAAAAAAAAAGAAAAGAAAAAAAAGAAAGAAAGAAAAAGCTACGGAGAAACCCTGTCTCGAAAATAAAAAAAAAATTATATCTACTTTTTTTATCATAACTAAGAAAAACTATAACTATAAATTTTCAACTCCATCGAAGACCACAGAAGGATACAATATTATCTAAGTAAACAGGAAGTATGTTGTAAGCAATGTCTGAAACTCTAGAAATGAGAGAGACATTTTTTTGCCCAGACCGTCACTCAGAGTTCTTCTGTATTGTTGGGGCATTCAGTCTTCAGCCCACAGGCCTATAGTATCCAGCAGACTTCTTCATGAAGTAGGAAATTTGAAGACCTGTTCTGCATTACAATGGAAGAGTCCACCAGATGCTTTCTTCTGAGTCCTGCAGAATGTCTAGCAGACTCTTTCATGAATCAGGAACCCCTAAGAATCATCTTACCTTTAGGCAAGTTCAGCAGTCATTTCTCCGTGGGTTTTGCATGTCCAGTTCATCAAGCAGTCCAGGCAAGAGCAGTTTCTTGCCCAAATGTCTAACAAACTCCATAAGGAGACTCTTCGATGGCCATCATCCTCTTGAAGTAGATTGATGCTGCCAGGAGCAGATATGTCTCATTGTCATGAAAAGTCTTAAGCTCTTAAAACATTTTAAATGCCATATTATGAAAGTCTCTGAAAGATTGAACAAATCCCTATCTATCTGATATACATCTCTGTACGTCTAGAAAATCAATGAACATGACTACAAACTTGACTATTACTATATAGATGACTATTTACCTATATTTTTAATTACACATTACATTTTAAAATGAGCTACACAAATACAATACCTTAATCAAGAGCTGAAATACATATAATAAAATTGTTCTTAAATTTGTATGAATAAACCAAGATCCATGCCAATGCAAATCTCTATAGCATATCCCCATTTAAATGTAAACAAACATTTATGAACCGTATTTGGGTATATGGGCATAGTTCTCTCCAAACTGCTTCCTGCTTTTTATTTGGTGAAGTAATTTTTTGGGGGTGTTCACAGTGACCTTTTGGGTGGTCTTGATTCATTAAGCCACAGGTTCTCATCCTCTGTCAAAACAAAAGCACCTCTTTCCCAAAGCAACTAATTCTTATACCCAAATTCTGAAGATATGATACCTTTAAAGTATATATGTTGGTTACTTAGCTCCTTTACAGTCAAAAAAATTTAAAGAAAACACAATAATATGCATAATCCACACACTCTGTATATAGTCCTTCTTTATGTGGCTTATTTTTATTCTATTACTTTTTGATATTTATTTATTATCTTTACTCCTTTAATTTATGAGTGTACTCTGTCTCTTTAAAGACTTTGTTTCATTTTTTATAATCCATTTACTTCTTTATATAACTATTTTTTTCTTCTCTCTCCCAAACCTATGTATAGTTTTTAAACACACTGTGTCTCATTAAGAGGTCTGTTATGTATGAATCTGTCCTATTGTGTATCTGTAATTCTTTACTGTTCAGGAGTGCTTCTTAAAATGCTAAGCACTTCTTATGAACTTATGCTGTGCCATTGGTAGGGCAAATACGGCCTGCCTGCTTGCTTCACCCAGTCCAACATGACAGAGGCATGTTTGCTTCTTCTGAGAGCTAGGTATGCTGCCCCATTTTCAGGCACACAGTAGGTCTAAGTTGCCATTAGCAATCTGCTCACAGACCACACAGCCAGTCCTCCAGAAAGAGTCAAAAGTTTGCATGGGCAGCACAGCCCAGAAAGCTGGCATTTCAAAATGGCATAGTTTTTTTTTTCTGTTACCTCTAAATCAGGAAAACCTCTCTTAAAGGAGTTGCAGCATGTCACCAGTAAGCAAAGCCCATTTGGGGGAATAATGCAGCTAAACTTCATTTTTTAGTGTTTACAATTCCTTTCCAAGCTCTCTAAGATTTTAAGTGGATTTTAGTTGGCCATGTGGGCATGAGTTTGTTGTGGAAAGCCACTTGTTAGTTCCCAGCTGCTCAGCCCCAAAATAATCAAATAGAAACTGTATTAATAAATCACTGCATAGCCCATTACCTCTAGCTTCTTATTGGCTAGCTCTTACATATTAATTTAATCTGTGTATCGCCATGTGGCTGTGCTTACCAAGTAAAGTTCTCAGCATCTGTCTCCAGCAGGGCTACATGACTTTTTTTTGACTCCACCTTCTTCCTCCCAACACTCAGTTTAGTTTTCCCTACCTACCTAAGTTCTGTCCCATAGCTCTTCTATAGGCACAAAGCAGTTCCTTTATTAACCAATGATATTCACAGTTTACAGAGGGGAATCCCACAATATGTGTTTCTAGAGCTTCAACCATTTCCTGTTCTTTGTGCCTACTGTGTTGTACTTGAAACTAATCAGTCAGCTTACTTCTGTTGCTGTCATAACTTCCCCACTATCATAAACTCTATCACTAAATCACATAAGAATCAGTAGAATTAATTGCCATTTGGTGCTAAGGTGGTTTGGTGGCCTACTGTTTTCATTTTTGTTTGTTTATTTTTGAAGACAAGGTTTGTCTCTGTAGCTCTAGCTGTCCTGAAAGTAGCTCAATATACCAGGCTAGCTTCAAACTCAGAGATCCTCTGACTCTGACTTCCAAGAGCTGGGATGAAAGGTGGGCCAGTATTCCTGATTTTTTTGCTTTTATATTGTTGTTTGATGCTTTTGTTCCTATAAAGCATATGCTGTTGTACTGAACTTCACCCATATTTTCAATTTTAAAATTTTACAGAGGGTATCATTTTGTTTCTTAGCATGGTATGTATTCATGACATTAATACTACCTGTGCCTTCTGAGTCATTGGATTGCAGGTGCATAACCTTCTTCCTGCCTGTTTTGTTTGTTTTGAATTTTTATTTTAAAAAGAGTATTTTACCTGTATACATGGATATGCACAATGTGAGTACCTGGTCCTTACATTGATCAAAAGATGCTACTAGAAACCCTGAACTTGGAATAATGGATAGTTATGATCTCCCATATTAGTGAGCTCACCTGTATAGAAGAACAGAAGGACTCTTTAGTGTTGAGCCATCTTTCCTGCTCTGTGTTGATTATTTGTAATCAGCATATTAATTGCTATTATTTTCATTTGTCCATTCATAACTTTTTAAACACACAGTGCTTTTTGCAGTTTAAATTGTGGCACTTCCAGTTTCTTGTAGATGAATAAAGAGTTTAAGTGCATGCATAACTCTTTGTAGAAACTTCAGCAAAAACCTGTGAGTTATTTCTATCTTTATTGTTTGATTTTTTTTTCATGTGAAACAGGTATTTAATGTGTATTTCTCACTGTCCTATAAGTGATTGCATGGACTAGGCTGGTATTCAACTCAAAGGCAGATAGATATACATACATCTGCCTTCTGAGTGCAAGGATTAGAGGCATGATTCAATGCATCCAGCTTTTTCATCTTATTTTTCTTTTTTGTAGTTAGGAATTACTCATTCATACAATTTCTCTTATCTGTACTCTGTACTGTTCTGTTTATGTATCTTTCATTGTTGGTCAGTAGGCATTTCTCTTGCAAGGTGATATCCTATTCAAAGGGTTCAAAAATGACAGAGGTGAACCTCCAATTCAGTTTGCTTCTAAAGTGACTTGATGATTAAATTATGATGTCCATGTCATGAAATAAGTATGGGGAGCATCAGAATTATATGACTATACTGTCAAAGATGTATACATTTACAATGTTGTCAAAATCATGCATTCTGTTGTACACATGTATGGTATATTTTAGAATTCAGTGACCTATGATGACGTGCATGTTGACTTCACTTGGGAAGAGTGGACTTTGCTGGATCCTTCCCAGAAGAGTCTCTACAAATATGTGATGCTGGAGACCTACAGAAACCTCACTGCTATAAGTAAGACTGAATTATCTTTCATGTTTCAAATAAGGGGACAACCGTTCATTGGTTAATGGTACTATTTTGTAATATGATTGAGAAAGAAGAATGGGGTAAATAAATCAGGCATGCTTGTAAGGTTTGCTTTGAATGGTAACTAAATTTTTTACAATTTTAAATATATAACAAACATTTTTCTGGCACTATATTTTAGGATACGGTTGGGAAGACCATAATATTCAAGAACATTGTCAAACTTCTAGAAGACATGAAAGGTAATTTTCATGTATAAGGTGATACAAATGTAACTCTGAAGAATTTGTAATGTATCCTATATATTTTAAACAAAAGCCACAGTGTAAATAATAAAGTGTGTTGATGATTGTTAAATTCTCACAAAATCATATACCTTAATTTCAGATAGGTGAACTGCATTTAAGAAAGAATTCAAGGAAATAATGTCTTAACCTATATTACCTTTTGAATCATAATATGAGAGCTATACTATGAAGTCGTCAATCCATTTATTTCATATTCATATTATAAAAGACAGACATTTTGAAAAGGTGATAAGTATGCCTCTAAAACTATTACATTAATAGTCCATCAAAAAAGTAGTTTAAACCATATACTTGTGACTGTGTTAAGTTTAGTGAGGGGACAGTTAGAATCATGAATCAAGGGGCAGCTTTTGTGGAGAGTCCTTAATCCAGATACCAAAAGTCTATGAGGACAGAAATTCAAAGTGTTAAAACTCAATGGGGGAAAACCTTATGTTTGTTATTCTTCCTTTACTAGGTATATCATGTTTACTCTGGATACAAGCCACATGAACATAGGGATGTGAAAAGATATAGCATACCTCTCTCTCAGAACAAATAGAAGACATATAGCAGTTCCCATGTTGAGTATACTTGTTGAATTTGATGTAAAAGTATACAAGTAATTAGTTTTATAGCCTTATTGTTAATATATCAACAATCTCACATTTCAGAAAAGCACCATGAGTACTAGGACTGTATAAATACTTCTGTTTGTCCTAGTTCACTTAGCAAATGTAGTATCACTCACAGTATAGGAAACTTTATGAATGCAATAAGAGTGGTAAAGCTCTGAGTTTTTTCAATTCTCTTCAAATACATGAAAATTCTCATACAGAAAAAAAATTCTGTAAATGTTAACCATGTATTAAAGGCTGTTATCAGATATGTTCAAAGATGAAATGCAAGCATTAATGAAGGGGAAAAATAAGATTGTAAACATGGTGATAAACTTTAACATATAATTCCTCTTTAAAATAGTATTAAATTGTAAAATTAATTTAAACAGATAAAAATATTCACTAATGTATTAAATGTAGTAATGCTTTCATATGTACCATTATCATTGTAGGCATGAAAAAGGTCAAACTAGAGAGAAAACTTCTGTATATCCTCAATGTGTTAAAACCTTTGAATGTGACAGTCATCTTCACAGGCATGGAAAAACACATCCTAGATTGAAAACTTTTGAAGGAAATGAGTGTGGTAAAGCCATTTCACATCACAGTCATCTTCAAATGCATAAAAGAATATACATTGGAGAGAAGCCCTATGAATGTAGTCAGTGTGGCAAAACCTTTGCATATCACAGTAATCTTCAAAGGCATAAAAGAACCCATACTGGAGAGAAGCCCTATGAATGTAATCTGTGTGGTAAAGCCTTTGCAGATTACAGTCGTCTACAAAATCATGAAAGAACCCATACTGGAGAGAAACCCTATGAATGTAATCAGTGTGCTAAAGCCTTTGCGTGTCACAGTAATCTCCGAAAACATGAAAGAATCCATACTGGAGAGAAACCCTATGAATGTAATCAGTGTGGAATCGCCTTTACATATTGCAGTAGTTTCCGAAAACATGAAAGAACCCATACTGGAGAGAAACCCTATGAATGTAATCAGTGTGGTAAAGCCTTTGCGTGTCACAGTAGTCTCCGAAGACATGAAAGAACCCATACTGGAGAGAAACCCTATGAATGTAATCAGTGTGGTAAAGCCTTTGCAGGTCGCAGTAGTCTCCAAAAACATGAAAAAACTCATACTGAAGAGAAACTCTATGAATGTAATCAGTGTGGTAAAGCCTTTCCATGTCACAGTCATCTACAAATTTATGAAAGAATGCATACTGCAGAGAAACTCTATGAATGTAATCAGTGTGGTAAAGCCTTTACACGTCACAGTAGTCTCCGAAGACATGAAAGAACCCATACTGGAGAGAAACCCTATGAATGTAATCAGTGTGGTAAAGCCTTTGCACGTCACAGTGGTCTCCGAAGACATGAAAGAACCCATACTGGAGAGAAAGCCTATCAATGTAATCAGTGTGGTAAAGCCTTTGCATATCACAGTACTTTTCAAGCACATAAAAGGTCACATACTGGAGAAAGCCCTATGAATGTAATCAGTGTGGTAGAGTCTGCACATGCAGTAGTCTCTGATAACATGAAAGAACCCATACTGGAGAGAAACCCTATGAATGTAATCAATGTGGTATAGCCTTTGCATATCACAGTACTTTTCAAGCACATAAAAGGTCACATACTGGAGAAAAGCCCTATGAATGTAATCAGTGTGGTAAAGCCTTTGCATGTCATAGTACTCTTCAAATACATGAAAGAACCCATACTGGAGAGAAACCCTATGAAGGTAATCAGTGTGGTAAAGCCTTTGCACATCACAGTAGTCTCCTAACACATAAAAGGGCCCAGACTGGAGAGAAACCCTATGAATGTAATCAGTGTGGTAAAGCCCTTGCACAGCAAGTCATCTTCTAAGGCATGAAAGAAGCCATACTGGAGAGAAACCCTATGAATGTAATCAATGGGATAAAGCCTTTGCATGTCACATTAACCTCCAAAAGCATAAAAGAACCCATACTAGAGAGAAACAGGTATATAATTAGTGTGGTAAAATCTTTGTGTATCATAGTCATCTTCAAAGACATGAACTAACAAATGCTGGAGAGAAACCCTATGAATATAATGAGAGTGGTAAAACTTTTGCACTTCATATTACTCTTTAAGTGCATAAAAGATTACACACTGGAGATAAACTCTATGAATGTAATCATTGTGGTAAAGCATTTGTATGTGTGACTAAATCATCTGAGAAAAAAAATCATACTGCAGAGAAACCCTATAAATGTATTCAGTGGGATAAAGTTTTATACTTTATATAGGAGTAAAACTTTTGTTTGCAACAATCTGTTAAAATGTTTGCCTATTACAATAAACATTGACTACCTGAAAAAGATACTGAGGAGTTCTTATTATAAAGTATTTGGTAAGTTCTTTAGCTAAAACACTTATAATCAGCTACACAATGACTTGGGATTCCCCTCTGTATGCAATGAATGTATTTTGTTACCATTGTTTAATAAAGAATGGCAGGGCAAAATAGAGCAAGACAGAAATTCCAAGCAGAGATATAGGAGAAAAGAAAGTGGAGTCAGACTCCTTGTGTCTGCTGAAGGAGACAGATGCCCTGGAACCTTACTGGTAATTCACCAGTCTTGTGGTAAAATACAAAATGATAAAAATGGGTTAATTTAAGATTTCAGAGTTAGTTAATAAGAATCCTGAGGTAATAGGCCAAGCAGTGTTTTAATTAATATAGTTTCTGAGTGATTATTTTGGGTCTGGGCAGCCAGGAATGAAAAAGAATCATCTGCCTACAACACAAGGCTATTTTTCTTCTGTAGAAATTAATTTGACAGTGTTAACAATCTTTTTGAGCATTATGATGTCCTTTTTATACTGTTTATACTTAGAAAATCATGGTAAAATGAATTTATTATTTTAGGAAACCCTATATGTAGGTTAAAGGGACCAGCCAAAGAAACATCCTGACCCTGAAACCAGAGCTTGTGAAATACATAATTTTGACCAAAGAAATACATTCTGACTCTAAAGCCAAGACAAAGAAACACTTTGTTCCTGAATCCCCATCCAATAAAAAACACCTGATCCTGAAACCAGACTCAAAAGGTTATAAGGGGCCAGTGAAAGAACACACTTTGGCCCTGAAACAAGAGCCAAAGAAACACACTCTACCCTTGACCAACTGAGCACAAAAGCAGCTAATCCCTAAACTCAAGATCTACCAACCCCTGAGCAATGAATTCCTGCTAATCTCTGCATTGTTCAAGATCAGGGATTGACATCTATCCAATTCCCACCCTGAGAATCTTTTCCCTGGGAAAACTCTGCCCCTAAGAAGTCCTATATAAGTTCTGTACATGCTCATTTGGCTTCTGTCCTGACAGAGGCAGCCCCTCTCCTGTATTCTTCTCTTCCCAATAAATTTCTTGAGTGAGTTTTGGTTGAAGATATTTCACTGGAGTGACAAGGAAGTTTGTAGTGAATTGGAACAGAGAAGCTTTGGTCACCTCTGCTGGCAAACTCCCTTAAAGGAGCAGAGCAGAAGTAGCAACTCTTCACCAGAGACTACAATAGTTTCCCAGTGAAGCAGAAAAGTAACAATTTGGGCTAAAGCTGAGAGAAAAAATGACATCTCTGTTAGGAAACTCCCTAATGTGTCAGAACAGAGAAGCATTGAATACCTTTGCTAGGAAACTCCCTTAGGGAAGTGGAGCAGAACAGCAATGGACAGCTCTGCTTTGAAGCTCTCTTAGCAGATTGAAGCAGGGCCCAGCTGTATAGGCTCTCTTTTGGATAGGAGCAGTATTGCTACATCCTGCAAGGAGAACATCTCCCACTGGAACACAGCCTCAGATATAGCCAGACTTCCTGATAGTCAATATATGTCAGGGACCATCTTTGACATGTATACCACCTACCAGGATGGGGCATGGAGATTAGAAAAATAAGTAAAGAGAATGAAGACACAAGTGAAAATAATAAAATAGAAGCATAGGATAGTACTGAGTGGGAGTTCCAGTGAATATTGTAAATCTGCCTGCATTTAATTTTCCATATACTTTTATAGCCCAATAAAACAGGGAGGAAGAAGACAAAAGACTGCTTTAACATGATGCAAAGGACAACTAGAACTGTTACTTGCTTCAATACTTTGAGCCTTCAAGTCCTTAATTATTGAGAAAAACATTTTCTTATTCAGGCAGTGAAACTATCCTAGACCAAGAATCCTAAAGGCAGTCATTACAGGTTCCTGTAAATCTGTTTATTCTTGGAAACTCTTGTAGGACTCCATCTCCCAACAGTAAGTGTGGGGAAATCGGGTTGAGTCCGCTGAGCTTGGAGTATCTCTGAAGGTCCATTCAGAATGTCCAGATGAGGGCTTTTAGCACTTTTTCCCACTTGTCATCCCCTTTTGCCTAACATAAGTTATATCACCTGGTTATAGGTATATAAAATGACATAGCATTTACTGAAAGTAAATCATGAAGAAATTTATTTTGTGTTTAAAATTTGTTTCTATGTATGTCTGTGAATGTGCATACCATTTTGAAAAAAGGAATGGGAAGATACTGGTTTGGTAAGATCAATTTATGTGCTTTTGCTTACAGGGTAACACTTATTAACATTTTAAGCAAACACACTAAGGAACCTGGAGGCAAAAGCCGATGCAGAGGCCATGAAGGGTGCTGCTTAATAGCTTGCTCATCACGGCTTGCTCAGCCTGCTTTCTTATAGAACCCAGGACCAGCAGCTCAGGGATGGCACCACTCACAATGGACTGTATCCTCCTCCATCAACAGTTAATTGAGAAAATTCCCTACAGCTGAATATTGTGGAGGTTCCATCTTTCCGGGTAACTCTAGTTTGTCTGTCAACTTTGATGTAAGACCAGCCAGTGCATCCTAATGCTTGTGCTGTAGCCATTTGACTGACAGAGCTGTCTCCATGGTCTGCTATTGGAATATGCATATCAGAATATACATTTAGAGCAATTTAGTTTATTGAGCTCTTCCTTAGAACATCTTTTATAAATTTAAGATTAATTTTGAAATAATGATAAAATTGTTACTCAGCCAGTGATAGTCTCCTCCCTCATTTCCTTGCTCATCATCTTCATCTCTTAACAGTATTTTGCCTCACCTGAAGAAAGTCACCAAAATGTATTGCTGGCTCTGTGTATGTTCATTGAGCCCGTGTGAGTGAAAGAACTTGAAAAGTGGCTCAGTGGATGTGTCTCCTTAGTTTAGTTATCAAAGTCAGTAGCTGGGAAGTTACACATGAATCTTATAGTGTGCATTTAAATACTTAGTAGCCTGGCTCCTAGAGATACTTGAGTCGTAGTCTTCAGAATCTTTCAGCAAAATTATATCTGACACCCACCCCCACCTCCAAGTGCTGGGATTAAAGGCATACACCACCATGCCCTGCCTACTTTATTTTTTGTGACTCTGAATAGACCATGTGGAGATTCATAAAACTTTGGCTATGTCCTCCTCCTCCTCCTCTTTCCCTTCTTCCCCTTTTCCACCTCTTCCTTCCCCCAGCTCCTAACTCCCTTCTCCTCTTCCAGGTGCCCAGGCACTTTGACATCAGAGTTACATCTCAGGCCTGCCCGGCCTATTGTTTATCTGTCCTTCAGATATGACCCATTTCCCTCAAGTCTTCTCATTCTTGGAAGGCCTGTCTGTCTGTCTTTCATTTTTGGATGAACACTTGTTTTCTGAACTTTTGTTACTTGTGTGAGTGCTGAATCTAAGTCATAGTCGGTATTGCTTGCCTAAATTTAGGGCTAAACTGTGCTGTTAGACCCATGGAAGATTAAGGATGCAGGAGAGGAGAAATGAAGGACCCCAGAGGCTGGGGAACCACTGCTTGGATGAGCCCGTTAATGGAATGCTACACTCATTGTGCCCCAGTTTGTTTGCAGATGTCAACCATCTTTCAGTTTGAAACCCTTCCACTAGCCTTATAGTTGCAGTTTATTTATTTGGACAAGAGTCTCATTGTTGTAGTTCTGGCAGACCTGGAACTAAGATACACCTTCTTCTGCCTCCCAAATGCTGGGTTTGAGATGTATATGACAACTCTTAGCTATATTTGATTTTATTTGCTACATAGGAGTTATAGTTATGGGGTATTGTGAGCTATCTCAATGCATGTACACAGTGTTAATGATCATGTCACGGTAAGTGGTGTATCTATCACCTCAAATATTTTTTGTTTGTGCTAGGAACTTTCAAAATTCTCTCTGCTATTGACTTGGAAACATTTCACTTAATTTTTGTTAACTATAGTCATTGTACTACTGTGTGGAACAGTAGAAGTTGTTCCTCATAATCCCCTGAGATTACAAAACCTGAGTATGTTTGTGCCACCTGGAAATAAGAATAGGAGCCTGGCAGTGGCGGTACATGCCTTTAATCCAAGCACTTGGGAGGCAGAGGCAGGTGGATCTCTGTGAGTTTGAGGCCAATTTGGTCTACAGAGCAAGT